CTGTTGATGATGATGATGACTGAATTTTTAATCTTAAGGCTGTTGATGAATATTTTGTATTTTACTGTTATGGACCAAATTGTTAATGTCAATTAGATAAAAGTTCTTATGGCTTACTCTTGCCAGTATAAAATTACCAAGAACCCCGACTAGTTTCAAGTGTGAACGCAGCTCTTGGCTAGAAGGATAAATTAATCTTTATTATATATACTTAATACGTAAAGCTGAAGAGTTTTGTTTGTTTGCTTGCTTGTTGGATTGGTCCTCCAGAACTACTCGTTCGGGTTTAATGATTTTTTTGTGTTGGATAGCTCGTTTATCGATTAAGGCTATAGGCAGTGATGGGCGTAACTAGTTAATTAAGTAATCTAATTAATAATTGAATTACATAATAATTGAATTAAAAAGTAATTTAATTACGTATTATTCAATTACATTGTAATTAAGTTACTTTGGATGTGCTATGAAATTAATTATAATGTATTTCATTACAAGATAATTTGATTACAAAGTAACCTAATTACATAGTATTTAATTATATTATAATTGTTTTGAATATGAAATGTCGCATGCTTGCATCGCACAGTTGCGATATAGGTGTACTGCAAGTGCGGCCCGTTCGACGTCATAGGGTAGTAAGTATAATGTGCGGGGGAGCGGGGAGTTCTATGCATTGTGCTCGTGCGTCGTCGCTCCTAGCCACCCCGCTTCACCCGCCCACTTCAGTTACTTCTAATCTTTTGTATTATAAGCACGTAACATTTTCTTAAGATTACAAGTCGTCGTCATAATTTAAATTATAAATCAGAAAACATTTTTTTTTTATCAGCCAATGGTGAAAATTATTACTAATAAAATATTTAAAACTAAACAATGATTGACTTACTTTTTTTTTGTATAATTATGTGTTTTATTTTCGTATTTGTTGTCAAAACTTTTCCCAATACTTATATAAATGTGTAGGTAATTACATTTTATCAGATTACTTATGTAATCTATTATAATGTAATTAGATTATCTTGCAATTCAATTACTTTGTATTTAATTACATTATGTACTCATTGCAATTAGTTACTTAAATAATCTGTTACAAAGTATTTCAATTACAAATTACAATGTAACTGTAATTTGTAATTATTAATCTAAATACTTTTTGCCCATCACTGGCTATAGGATATAAAACATCACGCTACGATCCATCAATAGGAGCTAGCTAGCAATTAAATTTTTATATGATGCCTCACACCGTCAACAGAACCAACATCAGTTTAACACAAGTATGACATTACAAGACCTCTGCCTACCCTCTCACACTTGAAAGTGTATCGTTCCATTAATTCTCAAGTGCAGTTACTTACGGCACACGAACCGGGCCCGTGTGAACACCACAACAATAATTCCATCCAAAAACTCTAATATTTTATGTAGATACTTCAGCAAAAACACAATTCCTAAAAATAAACCAGCAAATACGCAATGTATATCTAACATTAACAGGTGAGTGAGTCGTCCAAAGATTTCCCATTAGACCTGCACGAGATACACACTGTCACATTCCTACAACTATCACACTACACAAATCCAGAGGCGAAGTAAATCTAGAGAGCGCCCTTGGTAAGCACCTCATAGGCGCCCGTATTTTCTTGGCGCCGCTGCGAGTCTGGGCAGTTGAACACGATCATCTCGCGGCGCCCCTCTGTAACTTGGCGCCCTAGGCACTTGCCAGATTCAGGCATAATACGACTCTGCAACTATTACACTACCTCTATTTTAGTTAAAATACTACAAAAACTATTTGAATTGCAGTTATTCGCAGTGCGAGATTGTCTTGCATTCCAAATAGTTTGCATTTTTTATGCTATGGGCATTGCATTCGCTTCTTTAGGTTGGTAAGTTTTTTAAACAATATTTAAAAAGTAGCTTTGATGAAGCTGCATTTATTATCATGCAAATTAAACATATATTCAAAATATTAGCTCAATCGGTGGAAGATAATATCTGCTTTAACATTTAGTTGCAAGATCCAACTTCATACGTACCTACAATGACCTACATACAATGTAAATTAAATAAAAACTTGTAAAAAGGAGGTTTACAAACCAATTTGTATTATAGACAACCTCGAAACTCCATGATTGACTTCCACTTATCATTTACAAAAAAAAACGAAGTCAAAAACAAACTTCACCTCCAATAGTAGTTCCCATTCAAGATACAAAATAGCACATTAAGTATTATAGAAACTATTTGTAAAACAGAACACTTGTAAAAGAAAATGTCAGCGTGACAAAACATTAGCGGGCAGCGGAGAGATTTCCCCGCGGAACAGACAGACAGACAGAACTACATTACCAAGTACATTTTTATAATGTAACAGTACTTAGCTTTGTTCCTCCTTGTCTTATTCTTTAGTTCCAATGCTTTTAGTTGTGGAAATATTATTATTATTCTTTGCTATAGTTTTCAAGCTGACATGTTTTGTATGCTTGCTTGATTGTTTGTCTCTTTGTATGTTTGCGGTTATCTCGGGAAGTACTGGATTGATTTCGATGATTCTTTGTGCATCTGATAGGGCTGTTTTTAAGCAATGGCACGATTACAATGATTAGGAGACTTGATTACTTATAATGAGAGAGTTTTAGTTATAAGAAGGAGCAAATGAACATTTTAGCAATATATTTTTACATACATACATACGATGGGTTAAACAATTAAATAAATTGGTCTAATCACTAGATTGCACATATTGAAAGTACTATAATATGATTCCAAATAATTGAAATAATTGCGCATAAAGGTTTTAATATCCTGGTTAAGCAGAACTAATGGAAGATATAAGTAGGTATCATAAAAGTAACTACTCTACACTACCTCTTCCGGGATTAAAGGTAATCTTATGTTAATTCGATCGTAAGTTCACGGCGTGTTAGGCCAGTTTGCTTCACCTTAATATTTTATAGTGAAACATCCCCTAGAGTTACCCCATTTTGAAAATAGCTCGCACCGACGAATCCCTTTTATTTCTCCCGGGAAATCTTACCCCGGTTTTTTAATTCGGATATTTTTCACTCATTAATTACGGATTTAGTTTTCTGTTAGTACGTAGCTCTATTTTACGAGGTAAATGTAAACGAAAAATAGTCATTTTTCTATAGTTCAGAGGTCACTATTTTAATATGCTGAATACAATAAGGTTTAGTACAATAATTTTACTAGAGGTCTCATAACATAATAAAAATAATTATTATGTTTTTAGTTTACTTACGTAACTGTTTGACAAGAACTCGATTAGTCCTCCCTATTCCTCTCAGTCCACCGCTGTTCTATGGCTCGAGCAGACGTTTCGGAGAATCTTCTCCTGGATTCTACCTCTAAAGGATCCATATGTTATGTCCAGTTGATGGGACTCTGGTATAGTTTCAAGCCATGCTGGAGGCTCACATTCATGAGCAGCATTCCGCGACGATAATATAAAATGTTGGTGACTGACAGACACGATGTTTCATAACGCATATACCTCTACATATATAATTTATATACCTACCTATATGCTAAATTCCTCTGACCCTATTTCCCACCAGACCACCCAAGTATGGTGATATTTCCGTACCAGTATAAAATCTCATACTCCATACATTACCATTGCATATTTATGCCCCGCTATTTTATCGAGCTATCCATAAATTCCTAGATACGTTAAAAGAAAAATATATTAAACATTTTTCAAAAGTACTACATACTTTGTAGATACAAGCGTCTTAGACTATGTTTTAGAAAAGTGGACATTGTTATCTGAATCTAGCAAAATATTTTCCATTTTGGATAATAGGGTTGATGACTGGGTATGAAAATTAAAAATCTAATTAGTCCGTGAGTTAGGTAATGATAAAATATTAGACACGTATTTTTTTATTTTGTCGTATAAGAAAACAATACTTAGATAAAACGTAGCAAAGGTTAGGAGTGGGGGGTAGCCACGTCATTTTAGAGTAAAAATCGTACTCGAAATTGACGTCATGCGATATTTCAAATCAATATATCTTCGAAACTATTCGTTTCCGCAAAAAAATACGTGTCTAATGTTTTCAAATAATCTACCAGACGGACTTTAAAATAAAAACTAGCCATCTACTCTATTATAATATAAATTAAGAATTGAATAAGAAATATAATCTTGAATAATTTCATTTTATTATACACATTAAAAAGCAAATCAAACGAAAACGATGAAAAATGAACCTAGAATTTTATGTAGTTCAGAATCCTAATGCCTACAAAGAATCCAGTCAATAAAACTCCGCCTAACAACCACAATATCGAGATGACAATCAAAGATTCCCTAATTCTTCATTCCTTATATAATTTATAGAATATAATATTTCAATCCGCCATTATGCCGGCAATATGGCATCCGTACTCCGATGTAATAATTCATACCAAGGCATTCACTCGACACGATCATTTCCTAAATTCAACATTTTTTTCCGACTTTTTTCGAATTAAAAATGTACTTAGCCATTTCCCGCTGTCATAAAACGAATTAGCTTATTTTATTTTTTCGGAAAATTGATTTTCTTTTTTTGGATTTTCACTTTCCGAGTGCAGTAAAAGGGTGGGATTTATTGAATGTCTTTGTGGGGCCTATGGGGGTGCTCCAACGTTATGGGTTTATAGTAGATTTTGTGAGAGTTATGCATACTAATCGGTGCTCATAAATTTATTCTAGATGTGAAATGGTTTTATAACAACGCCATATTTTTTTCTTTTAATTATTCTTGTTAAATACAATCCATTCTTTTTAAACAACTTCAAAAAAATGCTCAATTTGACCTGCTTATATGTATGTCTGTCAACAATTATCTCGCGATTAACTGAACCGATTTTGTTGCGGTTGTCAAAGTGTTTGACTTGTAGATACTTACGTACTTAGGAGTAGGTTTTAAGTTTATTAATCGAGTTAATTCTTTACCAACATCAAAAACTAAAATGAAAGTTATTCATTAATTTGTTATGTGTCTTTATTCATTACATCACTTATCCAATCAATATAAGGGCTGATAGGTGTGAAGATACCCATATCGAAAGACTGTACTTCAACTGAAGAATAACATCCCGAAGAGGGTCCAGCGCTGTCCACAGCTATGATGCCTGAGGGGTGGACGAGTGGTCCGCCTGAGTCCCCTGGACAAGTGACTGAGAACAACTTGCCACAACGCCGCGCTATACACAATCCTGGACGCACGTATGTGTGACTTGGACTGCATTTAATCACAACAACGTCTAGCTTCTGTAAAGGTTTCCCGAAAGAAGTTGCGTCGGCGAACTCTCCCTCTACCTTCATCAGCCCGTAGCCAGTCGCAGTCGCTTCCGATCCGAGCAAGCTTGTGTGATCCATTGCACTGATATGCCCATACTGTGTCAGAATAATTTCTTCAGTTTTTATCAAACCTATATCATTGGACGCGGACATAACATGCGTCGGATGGGATACCAGCTTGTAGGCAGGATGTTGCATCCATTCTATAATTTTGTTCGTAATGTTTTTCTCAAAAGGACCGTGGGAAATTTTAAATTTGTATTTAACTATACGTCCGTTTTTTTCAAAAGAGCCTTTTATTTTTAAGTCTTGTGGGCTAATACAGTGAGCGGCTGTCAATGTCCAGGTTGGTTTCAAAATAGCGCAAGTACAGCCATGTAATTCGCGTATCTTACTTATGATTCCTGGTGACTGATAAATAGATAATTTTATTTGTATCCTGGCAACATACGGGAGCTCGTTTTCACCGACATTGCTCCCGCCTACAATCCTTAATGCAGGATTGCGACCACTGACGTGCAGAATAAGAGTACTAATAAATAGACTTACTATAATAAAACACATGCTGACCAAAATACGTCTGTCGTAGTTGAAAGTTTTGATTTGTTCTACGATTTTATTTGTGTATAATAAAAATAAATAGGTATAAAATGTAATAAGAAAATGTTATATTGTATTATGAAATGTTTGTTGTAATATTGGAATAACCTTATGCAATATACCGTCTTTTTTATTGCATAAGCCGGTAATGGAGCAGACGAATCACCTGATGGTAAGCAATCGGCATCACCCATGGACACCTGGAACACCAGAGGCGTTACAAGTGCGTTACCGGCCTTTTGGGGATTAGGAGTTTGAGGATCGTTGGGGATTCGGGAATTGGGGAGATTGGGGAGGGGGAGGGTAATTTGGGCCTCCGGTAACCTCACTCACACGACGAAACACAACGCAAGCATTGCTTCACGTCGGTTTTCTGTGAGGCCGTGGTACCACTCCGGTCGAGCCGGCCCATTCATGCCGAAGCATGGCTCTCCCACACCGTCTATAAAAACATTCACACGAAAGAATCGTAAAGTGTTTATTGAATATCTTTGGCACAAACAATATTACCTGTTTTACGTGTTGTGTCAACATATACTTGTGTAACCTTTAAGTATGATACGTAGCAGAAACAAAAACGAACCCTATCACTGTTCGAGTGTTGAGTCCTAATTCAATTCCACAATAAAATGTTCAAGAGACAAATCCCAACACATAATCTTATTACAGCACAAATTAAATCGTCGACTCAGTAACACTCACACAAAAATCTAATTACAATTTTACCCCATCCAAATAAAGTCTATATAAAAAAATTACCCTAAAAAGGGTGCGCGGGGTAAAATTCACCATTACCCAGGTAAAGCGGCAATATATTCCGTGCAAAACAAACAGGCCTATGCAAATTTGTAGGCTACACATTGAACGTATGTCATTCATCACCGAGCAAGGGGATGGGGGGCAAACGGAAAAAAATGGGGTAAGAAACGAATTTTAGGGGAACCGAGAGAAATTTCCCAAAATATTAGGTTCGTAACGACATTTTGAACGATGGTTCTGCTCTTATACTGAGATTGCGTGGCTTGATTCTGCGTAGTCTGTCTTCTTCAAAGTAATTTGGTACCTGTGCAGTTGATGTAAGTGTTATTTTATTTGTGTTTACTGTTAACGTTTTGTTCTATATTTGAGAATGATATTGATATAGCAATAATGCTTGAAATATTTCCAAGAAAACGGTTATATACAAAATTATTACCGCTATATTATATGGCAAAGGCTCACCCCCTATTACATGGGACTCATAACATAAATAGTGAAAAGTGGGTGTTACATTGTACAGTGGCATTAAGTGCCGTAATGTACACCTCTGCCTACCCCTTCGGGGATAAAAGGCGTGATGTTATGTTATGTTATTATCCACGATACCTTCTTATTTTGATTTTAAAACAGTAACAGATTATTTATATTACAAATATTCCCTAATACACTCACACATCCGCACATTCAACTCCATCAATTTCCTCATAACACAACCGAACGCGAGGAATATGTTGAAAGCAGGTTCAGCGTTTAGTGCTCACCTAAGCTTTTTATGAACACGTTAAAAACCTGCGCAACCCTAAAACGTCCCGCGAAAAACTCACACGTCACACAAAGCCGGATGAGATAGGGTTACGTTTATTATACGGAATAAAAGGAAGATGGCGGTTATACGTTATTTTACAACTTTATCGTCCCGGCGGATGTATTAAGAAAATTACACGGGCTCAAGTGAAAAGGATAATTTCTTTCAATTTTGCCTATTGGATTGCCCTTTTGGGTACAGAGTTCAAGGCTTCGTATTGTCTGCCAAGAGCTGATTTTCGAAAGGGTTATCGATTTCGTATAAGTAACGTAGCTCTTTTGTTGGGCAGTTGCGGTTCCATATCTTGCAGTTACGAGATTATGCCCAGTCAAATTACCATTATACAATATTTTGCAATTCCTAAGTATTATTTTATAGTCACATTTTCGCCATATGTCTGTTATTTAGTCTCGAGACTACAAGATTTTTTTATTTGTTATTAAAACGTTACCCCACACTAGGATTTTCTCCTGTGACGTGGGTGTGTTCACAAATATACAAGTTCACATACACATCACACCAAGACCCGAAAAAATAATTTGTGAATCACACAAAGTGTTGTTCCGTGCGGGAATCGAACCCGCGATACGTTGCACGTTAGCCAGTTGCCCAGCCACCGCACCAGCTGTGCAGCAGATTAACGAGGTAATAAGTAATTGGTCGCTATTTAAAGCAAAATGTACCTGACCCGAGAGTCAAACGGGTTGGTACTTTGAAACAATTCGAAGCCCAGCTTTAATGTAAATATGGATATTATGACAATTATTCTTACATAGGTACCTTTCGCTCTTAAAAAAATACAGAATTAACGTCACAAATATTTTATAAGCTTGCTAATTGGCCCACAATTTTTGAAATAGTCTCATAAGCAAGCTTTACCTAACAATATTTACACACACACATACAAACATACACAACATAATTTATTTTATATACAAATATTCGTTCCTCTAACAGGATTCCGCGGTTGTAATGGCGTATATTTGTCAGGCAAAGATATTGTGGCAGGATGAGTTACATATTGTACCTTTTTGTAATAGGGTCCAAGTTACCAGTTTTCGGGAAATAGGGTTGTATAGTTTACGTGGGTAATATTCGGTTGTAAATAGCAATTTTCGATGGTAACATGTTTTGATCTGTTGTTTGTTTTGTGGGTTCATTTTGATGCTGTATTGTTTTGTTTTGTTTTGTTTTATTAGTTTGGCAAAACTTAATTTATAGTTTTAATCTAATATTAAATAAATAATTTAGGTAAAATGTACCCACGCACAGAAGACCGACGTGAAACAACGCTTCCGTTGTGATTCGTTGTGTGAGTGAGGTTACTGGATGCCCAATTATCCTCCTCCCCAATCTCCACAATTCCCGCCTCTGGTGTACTAGGTGTGCATGGGCGACGCCGATTGCTTACCATCAGTGATCGGTAATCAACCTGCACTTAATTTATCGGCTTAGCGCAAAAATAGTGATTACAAGAGCAAATATTTGTGATACAATTCTCTAGCTGTTTATTCAAGTTAAGAATAATGTATAAGTATATGGACATATGCGTATAACAACATCCTCAATCTAGTATTTAACCTTCGAAGTGTGGTTTAACAAATATGCTGTAATAATATTATAACAAAACTTCGTTAACTACAAGAAAGTATCGAAACCGCACATCATAAAAATAAAAAGGTTCCTCATAGAACCTAGTTAGTACAAAGTTCAAAGGGCGTAGTACATAGAAAGCAGTATCACTGCAACCGCCAACATCACCATATCACGTCATAACTGTAAAAACTAAGTGCTAGAGATAGAAGCCATGGTTTCAGGAGTAAACATCAAACGATATCGGAAAATACACTTAAGTGCAACTTACATCTTTACTCGATTACACCAGAAAGGAGGGTAATGTGTTTACTAATAAAATTAAGCATGGAGGAGGCTGAAGTCATTATTATGCCCATGTTCTCCTGTACGTCCGTGTAAAGGGAGCTCCCTTTCAAAATGGGGAATGGGAATGACAATAAGCTGTTCCAATTGCCATTTTCAGGAACAATTCTTAACTCTGTAAGCTTCAGTGTGTTCCAAAATTATGTTCGTGCGCTTTGTAATGTAATGGGAATTTCATTTTGAAACATACAGTCGAAAAAAATTACTGCAAATTATATACTTTAGAATTAATACGTTAATTTATCATTCATTTGTTGTTCAACAATTTGCAAACAAAATATGTTTCACAACACCAAAAAAAAAAAAGATAAAGGGCAATGAACTTTCTCTATCTATCTTTTCGACGAAAACGAAAACAACTTTGATATTATTATGATCTGAAACTAAAAAACAACCTACTTATTCCATAACCGCATCAGAAGAGACCATATTTATTTATCGTCACATTTATTGTAGAAAAATAATCGCGGTCTATGTGTGCGTGTTGTGCGTGTGTACTCAACAACACACAAATCAATTCTGATACCGCCCAGAAAATCAACATAAAAATAAAACTACCCTCCTCTATATTTTTCGCACACAATAGCACATACCAATAATAATACGTCACTGATCAACCGTAGGTTACGGTTTACCCCTACTGGTGTAACGCCAGATCGGTTTGGGGTATAAATGGGTAGAAAGGTAGGCCCATAACTTTTGGTTACCTACGTTCACCCGACTTTACCTCTAATGCTGTTTAGATTTTAAAACGACTTTTATTATAGCGATTTTTGTGTTTCAAATGCATGAGTATGAAGCTATATTTTATTTCATGACGCTGATGTTAGAGATTGGACGACGACAGCGATTCGTATCGCTGTATCCGTTTTCTGATGGCTGATAAAGCTGAATGTATGATGTCGAATTTTCATCTTATTTTGTAGCTCATAAGGTAGATATTAACTATTCAAATAGAACAAAGACAGAGACGAAAATTCTCGTTTGAGCGAATTTTCGAAACAAACAATACCGGGTTACCGATGACCTGAAGGACGATATGGACATTGCGAGAGAACGTAGGGCGTTGTGTGTCCGCTGTAATATGTTGGCTCGAAGGTTCGCTCGTTGTGCCCAAGAAGTGAAAGTAACACTATTTAGGGCATTCTGCCAAACATTTTATACATGCAGTTTGTGGGCTAAATACACGCAGGGGACATACAATGCCCTCCGGGTTCAGTACAACAACGCGTTCAGGGTGTTGATGGGGCTGCCGCGTTACTGTAGTGCGAGTGGCATGTTCGCGGAGGCGCATGTGGATGGATTCCATGCGATCATGCGTAAGCGTTGTGCATCAATGATGTCACGAGTGCGCGGTAGCCCTAGCGGCATGCTGGCCGCGTGTGCCGGACGCTGGGATTCGGTGCTGATGGCGCACTGGATAAGCCTACACGTAAAAGCAAGTGCCTGACTTAATCATAAGTATGTATGTATATCTA